TAAAGCAAGTGATCCACCCATATCATCACATTCTTTCATGACTGTGGATTCTTGAGCCTAATGTTCACCATAGAGTTTGAATAGAGAAAGAGTTTGGACCTTCCTATCTCCTTGAACTATCATCTTTTGTAGTTGTCCAATGTCTTCCTAACCTGTTGAGAAACTGTATACTGGTTTCATGGTTACTTATGATGGTACCAGCATTTTAGAGTTTAGTGATTATGATGTTAAATCTCTTAAAGAAGCCATCAAGACTTTCACTAGGTAACGCACTGAAGTTGGTGAACTCGTTGAGAACAGTAGTGAGCTTATTGTCTTGTGATTCTTTAGAACCTTGGTAGAGATTTTTGAGTACCTCCCAAATTTCTTTGGTGGATTTATAGTTGATGATGATGCCAAAGTTGTCTGGAGGAACGCCACATGAAATTTTATAGAGGGAAATTGCGTCTTTGTCCATCTTATAGAGATCATCGTTGGTGGGTCTGTTCATGGCTATCGGACCACCTTCGAGTCTTGCATGAGCACCATTAGGAGCAATGGGAGTGATAATGGGGACATGAGGTCATTCCTCTACAAATTTCGAAGATCTCTTCTTAGTCTCCTTAAATATCTTTCCATTCTTTGGGACCAATGATGATATTCACTTGCAAACAATATTAGAACTCTATTAGAACCTCCAAAACTGTTTGAAATGTTCAAAGAATAAGCTTGTGCCATTTTCCTTGTTTTAATGAGCGTTAGTGGTATAGAAGGCCTTTTAAATCAGAGTTTATTTTAAGAAAAACCTTCGATTTTATGAAAGGAGTTAAAAGGCAACCACTCTAGCTCTGGTACCAATTATTGAGAGAAGAACTTAATAACGAGATAATATATTACTGAAATGTAAGTTAATCTCAATGGATCTTTGTTAGCTCAACAATAAAAGTTAGATTGCGGAAAAGTAAGCAATGTAAATAGCAACAAGTTATATCAATAAGCATAAACATGTAGACACTTAGTTGAATCATAACATGGTTTACATTGAAACACAAGTTAGTAAATGATGAACAACTTAAGTGAAAAGGGACTCAGATAAATTATCAATCACATAACTTTAGATAATATTGAGATTAAGATATTTTGTACTGATAAGATTTGAATTGGTGCATAAACATGAAGAGGAACACTCTATTTATGGAGGTCCAAAAGTTACAAGGAAATATTAAACTATTACAAAGCAACTGACTTTGGTGACTATGAATGGTACACCGGATAATACAAGGCTTACACCCATAGTCAGTTAAAGTAACTTGTTATAGTCTTCATGTTCAAAAGATATCTTCGGGTCTTTTTCTTCTAGTGTTTGGGTTTCATTGATGGTTAACAATGACATTCTCTTCTCCGGATCACAAATGATTTTAGTCTTCGGGTCCTTCTTAGCTGTCGAGGGTCACTTTCTTGTATCAACAAGTGGTTAAATAAAAAAAATGCAAAATGTCCATATAGGATAATCGATTATTGTTATTTACTCGATTTGGTCGTTAAAGTATTTTCTAGAATGGTGGTAGCGTCGGTGATGAATGGTGTTGATGAGGGACTAACCACGAAAAAGTTTGAAACCATAAGGACCATTCACATAATTTTATTTAAATAGTTAACGGGGAATGTGTTAAAAACCAACGAAAATGACTTAATAAACATGTAAGTTGTAAGATTAATGGTCTATTGTGGTTTAATGATATTTTCCCAACGAAAATATGAATTTGATGGTTAAATTGTTGATTTTTTTTAAAATTTTAAATTTACACCGTTTTAAATAGAATTTGGCCTATTCTTTGTTTATCACATGGAATGCTATCTAATATATGTACGGCCTTGGAGCATTAAAACAACACAAAATTGAGAAGTTGAAAGAGGTACCACAAGGCCAGAAATTACATTAAAAAGTAATATTATACTTTATATATTTTGATTTTGGTTATATTTCATTTTCAACTAATTAAATGAGTGCAAATCTAAAAACATGTCAAATGAGTTGAAAGTGTCAAAATGTTTCAAATCATTACAACATTTTACATAATTTATTCTAAAATATTATATTATTATTATTATTATAGAAGTATAGCTTAACTAATCTAATCATATTTAAGAAATTCTATATTTATGAAATGATTAATTAAAATGTGCTAACACTTTTTTGTAGGTTAACCCAAAGAGTACTATATAAAATCATCTATTTTGATTCAAATCTCATTTAACTGATAACTAATCTGTCCATTTTATTTTTACGCTTGCAACCCTGATAATATCGTGTACAAATATAAAAATAACCCTACGTTCTATGTTCACCCAGTGTTATCGGTTTGTATCCCAGAAACAATTCACTTGAAATAGAAGCAAGTAATGATACAAATACTTCATATCTATGTGTAAGATAAAAGTAACTATGCACTCACTTATCAAAGTGACGACTTGGAATTTGGGCAGTGTTTCGCTTCTAATAATCATATTTTCCTTTCACGAAACCTAATATTATTATCACTGGATTTTAGTCTAATATTTATTGAGACTGATTATTAGTCTGAATTTATTATTAACTCAAAGTTTACTTTCATGATCTATCAAGTAAGGATCAGCTAGGTATGACAGTTGGGAGGCAGGACCATTTCAGCATATAGCTTTTCTGAAATCCAACAACCAAGCCAACATGACCATTCTAAACACCTCTCCCGTAAGTAGATCAATCAGTATAACGACTTTGAGTCACTGATAAATCTTTTTTATAGGTTCACAATAACGATAATGAATTTAAACATAAGTTATCCTTAAAGTATGGTAAGCATAACTAACTTATAGGGGGTTTAGCGAGAAAAAAGGCTCTACGCCGACATAACTTCTGAGCTGAAAGATCTTCTTCTTGGAGCCTTCCGACGCTCTGGGACTCGCTACTAACTCCTAAGAAGGACTAAAGAAAAGCCTTGAGGCTTTGGGGAGGTTTGGGAGAGAAGGTGTGAGGAAATGAGGTGATTTGTGCCTCTATTTATAGATGGAAATCATGCAACACGACGTGTTACTGAGTCCAACACGTCCTGTTGGTGTGCCAAGTGTCACCATCCGGTGGGAACACATGGGGAGGAAGCAGTGGCTCAGATCGCGCTATGTGTTACTTGCAGATTACCCAAAAAACTAATTATCTTCTAAAATCCGTAACTTTCGCATACGATCTCCATTTTTGATATTCTTTATATCCACACGTAGGTATTAACACGATCTATAACTCTCTTTTTTAATCCATCAGTTAATTCACGGCCGATTTTTAAATTTAACAATACGAGAAGATTATACTGTTAACGACCGTGTGATATTCATAACTTCTACATATGGGTTCCGTTTTCGACTCTATTTTTATCGTTGAACTCCTATTAATGAGATCTTCAATTCACATTTAGGTTGTGTCGCCTAAAATCGTTCGATCGAAAATTTGATTTTTGGGTTGTGCAATGCTATGCGGAATCTTAGAAAAATCATAATTTTCTATACGAGGTTTGATTTGGATGTTCTCTATACTAACGTCTACTACGACTTTCGTTTAGATCTCTAATGCTAAAAAGTAATTTATGAAAAATTCACTTTTTACATTACGTGGCGTCGTGCCGATTTAGTCGCAAAACTTCGACGGTTCATAACTTCTTCGTTATAAGTCGGATTTCAGTATTCTTTATATGTACAAAATCATTGTGACATATGCTATAACTTTGGTTAAGATTATTTATTCTAAATAATCTTCTATCAAAAAGTCATTTTTAACGTTTATTGTCTATAAATTGACTAGTTTAATTCTGCAGGCATTGTCGAAAGTGAATGGTGTGGTGTTGATGATGAATGGTGTTGATGAGGGACCAACCACAAATTTTTTTGAAGCACTTGGGACCATTTGTATAATTTTATTTAACTAGTTAACGAAGAATCTGTTTAAAACAAACCAAAATTACTTAATAAACATGTAAATAATAATAATTGATGGTTTATTGTGGAAAAAAAAACTTTTTGTCCTACTTTTTAACTAGTTAAATGGTTTATTTGGAAAAACTTACTTTTTTTTACCAAATCACGTAAATGATAATAGTTGATTATGATATAATAATATTTTCCCAAAAGAAAAATAAATTTGATGGTTAAGTCGTTTTTTTCTTAACTATTTTCTATTTTAAATTTATACCGTTTTAAATAGAATTTCGCTTATGTTTTTGTTTATGACATGCAATGCTATCTAATATATGTAGAGAACCAATAGAACACAAATTGAGAAGTTGAGAAGTTGAGGTGTTACATATTTACATCCATATGTACCACGAGGCCACAAATTATCTTAAATATTAATATTATACTTTATTTATTTTGATTTTGGTTATGTTTCATTTTTACATATGTACCACAAGGCCACAAATTATCTTAAATATTAATATTATACTTTATTTATTTTGATTTTGGTTATGTTTCATTTTTAAATGATTAAACGAGTAAAATTCTAAAAGCTTTGTAAAATGTAAAGCTTTGGAAAATGTAAAACCTGTCAAATGAGTTGAGTTGAAAGTGTCAAAATGTTTCAAATCATTACAACATTTTACATAATTTATTAATTCTAAAATATTATATTAGTATTATAGAAATATAGCTTATCTAATCTAATCATATTTAAGAAATTCTTTATTTATCAAATGATCAATTAAAATGTGCAACACTTTTTTGTGGGGTTAACCCAACGAGTACTATATAAAATCATCTATTTTGATTCAAATCTCATTTAACTGATAACTAATCTGTCCATTTTACGCTTGCAACCCTGATAATATCGTGTACAAATATAAAAATAACCCTACTTTCTATGTTCACCTATTGTTACCGGTTTGTATCCCAGACACAATTCACTAGAAATAGAAGCCCTACACAACACATCATCGGTTTCCCCTATATTCAGCAATCTTTTTACACTTCCCATAAGCAAAGAACAAACACACCGCATGGCCCCCACCAATCGCCACCTCACCCCGTCTTTAAAACCCGCCTCAATTACCAAAACTCAAAACCCACAATCCAAGTATGAAATCTTGAATGGGTATCCATTCAAGATCAACTTTCTCCTTCATCCCACCTTTTCATGTATAACCGAAAGAAAAAGAACTCTGAAAACTTCATCTTTTTGGTACTTTTTTCAACGTCCAGCTGTCAACTGCACAGGTTCCCAGAACAGAAAGATAGCCATTAAAGAAGGTTTTGGAGATGGGTTCTTTGTTAGTTGACATGGGTGTGTGTTTTTTGGCGTTCTTCTTGTTCATTTGTGTGGATTCAAAAGGTGAGAATGGGCGAGTGGTGATTGATGGTAAAAGTAGGATTGCAGAGACAGATAATGATTTTGTATGTGCAACAATGGATTGGTGGCCACCTGAGAAGTGTGATTATGGTACTTGCAGCTGGGATCATGCCTCTCTCCTCAATGTGGTATTCATCTTTTCATCCATTAGCTTATCGAGTACAATTTGAAAATAAATGTTTGCGTGGCTTATTTTCAAATTGTAGTCGTTAGTCAATAGTCAAATAAACTTTTATTAGATAACATGATTGTAATGGATTTAAACGGGATAATTATATCATTATTGATATCACATAAGCTAATAGATATTAGATAACATAGTATGATTCAATACCCGTTTATCATATCCTACAATTCAATGGATAAAGTGACCATTTTTTTAAATATTATTAATTAGTTGTCATAAAAGTTTATGGTATTGATCCTTTTTATTTCGACTAACAAAATGAAACAAAATAAGTGTTTTTTTAAAACTGTAAATCTCATTTACTTATATTCTATTCATAATTCAACCTATGTCTGACTTGAACACCCAATTTCATTGAGGATGACACACACCATTCCGATAGACCGATGCCTGCTTGTTTTGTAATAGGTCGATAATTGTTTAGATTAAAAAATAGTCAAAAGACCATATCTAGAAAATTCAATCATGAATGATGTGTATGGGATTAAAAGTCAAAAGACCTTTAAATGGAGTTGAGTTCAATTTCATGGTTCAGATTCAACATTATGGTGGCCCGCCTTTAAAAAAAATAAGGTTATTTTGTGGAAATGGGAAAGTTATGGACTGTTTGTGAAAAAGTCCTACACAAACTATATCTGTCTTCTTTAAAATCTTTAGTCCACTAGTTAAACTGAAAATAAAGTAAAAATGCGTCACTATTGATTACAATTTGCTTGATGTGAGAGTGTCATTGTTACCTATGCTAACGTTTTCATTTTGTCTTTGAAATAAAAGGAGATGTTGATTGTGGGTTTACTTGATGTCATCAAAAAAGTTAGGCCTTACGTCTCTAAAGAATCTAACCATCTGTTCTTTAAAAAAATAAATCTAATCATAATATTCGTTAAAGTAGAAAAATGAACATATATAACACCATTCTAACAAGGACGAACTTGTCAACTTACATATGTCTTTGGATATATATATATATATATATATATATATATATATATATATATATATATATATATATATATATATATATATATATATATATATATATATAAATTCAAATCTCTGAAGCTGTTCTTTTCTATAATTATATGCAGGATCTTCACAACAAAATCTTGAAGAATGCCATTAAAGGTGAAAAGACCAACAAGTTTTCTTTACTCTTTATAGTTTTTTTACAGTTGATTGCAAAAATAAATGCAACACACTTATATTTTTTCACCATTATTTTTTTCTCTAACAAGGTATCATTTTTACCACTTTATTTAACATCTACCTAAATACTAAGTTTGTTAAATTAAATGGTTAATTAGAAAAATGCATAGTTAATGAATTGGATAACATCGCATTAATTATAATTAATATTGTATAAAATTAATTGCGTTTCTTTAAAAACTATGTAGCCTTTTCTCCTTTAAAGATCAGATTAGGAGGCACTTTGCAAGATGATGTTATCTACCAAACCAAAAATCACCATGAACCCTGCAAACCCTTCATCAAGAACACCACAGCATTATTTGGTTTCACGCAAGGATGTTTGCCTCTATCCAGATGGGATGAACTTAATAGATTCTTACAAGAGACAGGGTAATCAAATTCAAAAAAATAAAACAGTTTTGTTTTTTAAGTTTTCATGTTTTCAGGGTTATAATTGTCTTTTACATTCAGGGCCGTGTATACTTTTGGACTAAATGCTCTCACAGGTAAAAAGGTGCTAACCAACGGTTCCACGATAGGAGCTTGGGACTCGACCAATGCCGAAGCGCTAATACACTACACGGTTCAAAAGAACTACACAATCAATGGTTGGGAGCTCGGTATGTGAAAACACTAGCAGTAACAAATTAGGGATGAGTATGGTTCAGTTCGGTTTAGTTCAACTCTTTGACTAAAATTAAAACCAAACAAAAATTATTTGGTTTCTAACCTTAAAGAATACAATTTTGTTTGGTTGTGTTTTTCTTTCAAAACAAGACAAATAGCAATCAAGTAAGTGAATATATTTTGAAGATACATCAAAGCATGAACAATATATTTATTGAACTCCACAATATGATAATAAAAAAAACAAATGAACCAAAGGTTTTGTGGCCTAACTGTATCAGTAGTTCTTGAAAAGGTATCTCACAGCCAATATTTACGTTGAAGGTTAAGTTTCCCTTAGCACTAAGATGTAGATTTATGAGTACATTTGAGGGTGTAAGAGTTAGCCATTTAAAAAAATATAATAAAAAAGACATCAAGATCATATTAAGATATGGTCCAGCTCGGTTTCTTGTTATGTTTTATTTTATTATTTGGTTGGGTTGTGGTTTTTTGTAACGTGTTCAACTTGTAGGGAATGAGTTGAGTGGAAATGGCATTGGAACAAGTATATCATCATCTCAATATGCAAATGACACAATAACCCTTAGCAACATCGTGAACCGTATTTACAAGGGTATAAAACCGAAGCCACTTATCATTGCACCCGGGGGATTTTATGATCCAAAATGGTTCGAGGATTTCCTAGCCGATACATCCAAGACACTCAACGTGATCTCTCACCACATTTACAATCTCGGCCCCGGTATCTTTCAAATTCTTAAACAAAATATTTTTGTTGTGCACACCTGAGTTGGCCTACTTCAACTAGATGGCTAAAATAAAAGGCCAATGTCGACAACCAACTATAATCTGCATTAAACCGGTTAAGACTTGAAGCTTTGACTATTTATATAAACATACGACTATCGGAAGTCGAACTAAATTAAGATTTGCAGTTAAGGTTTTGGGGTTGGCAAACTATAGATGACAGGTGTAAGAGCCCAATGCCCAGTCTAAATCCACAGTGATTACACCAATAGTCCATATGGTTAAGGTAATTTGCATGTTTAATCCCTAATAAAAACAAACAATAGGGACCTTCGGAAATAAAAAAATAAGTTATGGATCAAGCTCGCAAATTACCCAAACCATAGAGACCATTTTTGTAATTTACTCTAATTAGAACTCTTAACTATTTTGACTATTTTTGCAACGGCTACTCTTGTGCTACTTGAAGATTGTGAGATTTGCATTTGCAAACATTAGTTCGGATAGCTCAAACTGAAATTAGGGTTTAGGGTGTATGGGTTAGGGATCCGGATCACAAAAGTTCAGATTTTTATGCCATGATTCTTGCAGGGGTCGATAAAAACCTAACTGCAAAGATTCTTGATCCGTCTTATCTTGACAACGCGCATGATACGTTCAAGCAACTTGAATCGACTCTCAATACTTCCAAAAGTTCAGCAGCTGCTTGGGTTAGTGAGGCTGGTGGAGCTTATAATAGTGGTCAAGATCTTGTTACGAACGCATTTGTGTTCAGTTTCTGGTAAGCTAATTTGTACAAGTATAAATGCATAAGGTAAAACATACTATTAATGAATAACGTACGACTATTTATCTTTTCTCATAATATTAGGTACTTGGATCAGCTGGGGATGTCATCTGTTTATGATACAAAAACATATTGCAGACAAAGTTTGATAGGAGGAAACTATGGCTTACTTAATACCACTACCTTTGAGCCAAATCCAGACTACTACAGGTTCATAAATCATAACAAATATTTAACTTTGACTTTTAAAGTCAAACACTTTAAAAGGTCACAATTATAACGGGATTCGTTTTTTTTTTTTTCTAGTGCACTTCTTTGGCATCGATTAACGGGGAGAAAGGTTTTATCTACAAGATTTGTCGGGACAAAGAAGATACGTGCTTATTCACATTGTGCCAAAGAATCAGTAAGCCTTTATTTATTTATTTTTTAATGAATTGATGTGTGGATAAATGAAGTTTAAAAAATATTTGAGAAACTGGGAAATGGAAGGAAAACATAAAAGTGTTCAAATAAAAATCGCAATGTCATTAGATACAAAGAAATTTTCAATGCTATAATTGGATTTTTTGTTTTTTTTTCCAAAATGCAATGTCTTTAATGTGAAAAAAATATATATATACGTACAATGCTGTAGTTCAGTAGATTTATGAATATACAATGATTTAATAGTGAAAACCTCATTTCCCAGACTTCAATATTAAATTATTCTTTTTGTATTAAGTCAAAAGAAGTATTTGTATATAGCTTATTAGAATTATGACAATTTGATCCGTATTGCAGAAGGGGATAGTGATCCTTCTAATGAATTTAGACAATAGCACTATTGTTGATGTAAAGCTATCAGTTAACAGTACTTGGAGGCTACACAAACGCAGGTCTCATGCTCATCATGATCATAAAACGAAGCATACTCGTTCAAAATCAACACATGCAAAGATGCATAAGACAAGAATAAGGACACGAGAAGAATATCATTTGACACCAAAAGATGGAAATTTGCACAGTAAAGTAATGATGTTGAATGGAAAAGAATTGAGGGTAAATTCCTCGGATGAAATACCTTCATTGAAGCCTTTGTTTATGAATTATTCGGAGCCGATAATTGTTGCTCCTTATTCTATTGTATTTGTACATCTCCCACATTTTACTTTGTATGCTTGCAATAGTTAGTTACGGGATACATGGGTGGGGAATTGGTTCCAATCTGGTTATAGAATTTATAGAAGATTGATGATATAAGTGAATAATACATACATCTTTATAGAATTATTTATTATTATTTTTTTCTCTCCATTAAGTCATATATATGGGGTGGCGGAATCGGTAAAATGATATTTGTCTTAATACATTGAGGTTTGTTTCTTTGTTATCTTTCTACACCGAATAAAGTTTGTGAATGGGACTATATGACCATTTTTTTTCTCCTTACATTAAAACAATTATAATGTTCAATCAATTTAACGTGATAGGAGTTCTAAGAAAAAGGATTGAAAATAGATAAAAGATTGTTGTTATATTATCACAAAATTATAAAAAATAAACTATCTTTATATAATAATTCGATTTAGTTATGATTTTATTGAAACAACATTTATTAAATAAAAAATTAAAATTATAACAGACTTTTATATAGATTCAATATATGAAGACTAAATTGTATTTTTGTGATTAGTTAATATCATTTTATATAGAACAAGATATTACAAAAATTAACTATTACACTTTAATTATAACTAGTAAACTAAAATAAACTAGACATACATAAAACCTAATTAAAATGAAAGGGGCTAAAATTGGCATATGAAAGGTTGTTATATTTATTGTGAACATGATTAGTATCATTTATATGTCCAGTAATCCTATTTATTTATATCAAAATATATTACATTAGATAGAAATAGAGTTATATTTTTTGTGAAAATGAATAGTATCATTTATATGTCCAATAATCCTATTTATTTACACCAAAATATATTACATTAGATAGAAATGGAATAGTAAATGAAATTTAGAGTGGGGATGGAGAAGATGTCCTAAGCAAAGTAATTATAAAAGTGATATTCACACCAATAATCATATTTGATAACAATATCTATAGATATTTATAATAGAAATATTTTTCCTTTCACCGTATTAATTTGAAACTCCGATGATTTTTCAATTTCTTTACAATAATATTATAAATTAGTTAAATAATGTTCTATAAACAAGAAAAAATATTTTATTACAATATCTTCATTAGGGATGAGCAGTTTGTCCCAAATCCTTATCCCGTATTGGAACCGGTACCGAACCGTACCGAATTTAAAAATACGGGACGGTACTTGGTACTCCGAATACATGAAATTCGGGAATCAGTACCATCAGTACCTGTACTAGTACCGAGTACTAGTATCATTTCCGGTACCGGTATTGGTGATGTTAATTCGGTTCGGTACTCGGGATTAACTTTCGATCAAATTCGGTATTCGGGAAATTGGGAACGAGACAAGTCGGTACCGGTTCCGTCCCATGCTCATCCATAATCTTCATCCCACATCGATGGTGAGAGTAAACAAGAGAACGTTTTGTCTTCTATAAATAGAAAAGGTTGTGAGACCAAATCATGAGAACTTCTTTATGCATACCTTTATAAGATTTTGTGGGTATTATTTGGTGAATTATCTATATTGGCAAGTGTTAAGTTAAGTTTTAGAATTTCTAAAATGGTTTTGAATCGGATTTTTTTTTTGTTCAAATCGTGTTTCGGTAGAAAAAAAGTTATGTAGTTGGGTATATTGAGTTGAATCGAAGCAGGATCAATTTGGACCGATAAAGGAAAGATTTTCCTTTTACCACATACATTTAAAACTCTCATGATTATTCAAAAATTTCTAATAATGTTATAAATAAGTTACATAATGTTATATAAATATAAAAAAAATCTACCTAAACATAAAATTATAATTATGTGAAAAATCACTTCGATTCAAAAGCACGAAATATATACTTGATTATATTTTATAAATGAGTTCATTTTATAATGATTTTAATCATGAAAATACATATATACAAACTTTTTTATATTAAGTACCTAACTGAATTTATGATTTTATGATTTAATAAAAAGTTATTCAATAAAACTTACTTTTTTTATAGCAACTTACGAGATTACTGAAAAACAGAACTATTAAACAGTAAATTGTTGGGATGTCGTTTTATTTTTATTATTTAATATTTTATTGAACATAATGAATTTATTGGAACAAGAGAATGTATATTTCTCTATAAATATGAAATGTTGTGAAATATTTCAAAGGGACTAAGCCATGAGATCTTCCTTGCATTTACCTTTGTAGGACTTTGATGGTATTCTTTGGTCAGATTGTCTTTGTTTAAAAGTGACCAATTAAGTTTTAGAATTTTGAAAATGATTTTGTACGAGATTTTTTTAGATTTGGATCGAGTTTGATTAATACCCAAGTGTCTTTTAGCTGAGTTAGGCAAATTCACTTTCATTAGAGGTCGATTTTATGTAACATGTTGAGTATTTGGTTGTATTAGCCAAGTTTTATAACCCTGTATGTAATACAATTTTAAGTTCTAACCTTATAAAATAAGTCACTATTATCATATGTTCTACATAATTATAGTAATATTTATGGTACAAAAAAAATTAAATTACTATTTAAGATAAAAAGATGTCTCTATAATCATACGCTTTACATCTATATGTCTATATCATACTATCATACTATAACTATAAATGACATATTTTTCCAATCACCTCATGCATTTAACCCCCCCCCCCCCCCCCCATAATTTTCCAAACACCTCATTCATTTGAAACCCCCAAACTTTTTCACTTTCAAATTATTTAATCACACATCACACACTTTATATAACTGAAATTTTGAAGCTACAAATGGAACTATAAATGGTGATTTAGAGCATGGCATAAAGGAACAATTGGTTTTGTTCCTACGTACTAATAAATATCTTCTCAACTCTGATGAAAATTTGGCAAGAATGATGAAACAAAACATGCTCCTGCATGGTAATTAAATCCTTTTATATCATTCATTTCATAGATGAAAATTTGGCAAGAATGATGAAACAAAACATGCTCCTGCATGGTAATTAAATCCTTTTATATCATTCATTTCATAGAGTCTGCTCCTTTAGTTTACTCCTGTTGCATGGTAATTAAATCTCTTTATATCACTAATTTCATAACTTCCTCTCCTTTAGTTTGTACAATTTCAAATTCTCTAAACGGATTATGAATATATGGCATGTGTGATAGGATAATATAGGTTGGGGATGAACTAAAGTAGATATTATACCCTAGAAATGAATCCAAGTCTTACAAACATGAGCCGGTGAAGGCGATATTTTCTACCGAAGTTAAATTCTCAAGATATAATATTAAAACCTTTGCATTTTAGATAGGTTTCCAAAATTATATTTGCTCTAATCATACCAAAGAATGCAAGAACAGGAGGTGTACACACAATTATTGAAGGATATGAAACTCCAAGAATGAAATAAGATTTAAAACCTTTAAAAATCAATGAGAAATTCGAGCATAGAGATTTAATGGCAGAAATTCAGAAGTTCTACAAAGTCTACAATGAAAAAATGTGAAAATTAGATATCTTAAATTACAAAACATTGCAGGCAATAAGTAAGTTCTCTAATCATATTTCAATAATTTTCAAACATGTAGGGTTTACTTAAGAAACTAAATGCATGCGGCCACAAATGAGAACCCATATTTAATTTTTGCATTATTTATTAGTAAATATACATTCTATTTAGTTACATAGAACCTTTATGTACAACCTATTCACACTAAATTAAACCATATCAATTATAATGTAATAATTTTATTAATTGCATTATGTTACTATCTTATTTGTTTTAAAATTATAACTTTTTAACTAACCATATGCTCAAAAAGAATGTTAACTATTTATTTTTATGATAATATATATAACCATATTAAAGTACATAATTATTCTACTGTGCAACGTGCGAACATTCACCTAGTATTAAATAAAGACTACTTATCTTGGAAGTTCCTCAAATGACTACCAATTTTGGAAAAAAAAAGTTTTTAGATGTAGTTAATTTTCGAAATTCCCTTTTGCAGTCCACTAGTTAAGGCTTGAGTTTGTCATTAAATAGTACCCATTTTGCAAAAAAATAAAAAAATAAAAATAAAAATAAAAATAAAAATAAAAATAAAAAATGATGAACAAGTTTGCAAATGTGAAGAACTATTTTAAAAAAAGTTGGTCGGTAAAAAGAACAAGTAGAACATGTTTGGGGTTTTTGATAAGTTTCGAACCTATAAAAGACTTTGTTCGAAAAATGATCCAATATGATCATAAAAAAATTAGTTCAAAAATCACCAAAAATTTAGTTAACAAATTATCAAAAAACAATTTCGAAAATGTTAATATAAACAACCGTTGTTCAGAAAATTTTGATCCGGATCAGTAAACACATAATGATCAACATCCTCTATATGGTGCATATCTTTAACTTCTTAAAAACCTCTTATATTTAAGGCTATCGAAAACAAAATTACCAAGATCTTTTCAACTCGATCACAATCATGAATCAAACATGAACGTGGTTGCTACAACCTATTGAATCTGAAACCATAGGCAGTGATACCACTTTGTTGGAGCTAATAAAAAAGGGAAAAAACTTGCAACCACATTGTAACACTGGGTTCCTGGTAAGAATTATTTCTCAAAATGTTGATTTTTCTTATAGAACTTGACGAGTTGTAGTGCCTCAACTCGTCGTGTTGAAAGGGACTTGGTTCGCGTGGTTTAATGAACCAACTCGACGAGTTAGGATGCCTCAACTCGACAAGTTGGCGGCTGTGGATGAAATCCTAATTTTCAGGGTTTTGCCCCCTATTTAAAGACCATAAAGACCCTTGAGCAGCCCCTTATTGTGAGCTCCTTATTGGGAAACTTGTGGTTTTGAGTGGATTTTGTGTGTTTTTGTGCTTGGTGAAGGACTTGGAAGAAATTGAAGGCCATTTAGCTTGAGGCGAAGCATTGGATCTGGAATCTCACCTACCTTTGGCGACTTTCTGAGGTATAAAGTCTTAAACTTGGTGCTTAATAGCTTAGATCTCTCTTGGTTTTGATTCATGGATCTTTTAGATCCCATTGATGAAATATGATAAACCCTCATAGTTGTGATACTGGAAATTTCCATTCTCAGTGTTATTTGTGTTGGATTAGATATCT